TGAATCATATAAGTATGGCCCATATATGAAGTCACAGTAGTTGAAATGGCTTAGCACCAAACTATCACAGAGCATTCTTTTTAGAGGTTGGCTCAAAATAAAACGATTACAGTATAACAGTTTTAATGACATATAAGCTTTTTTCATTAAATTTTTAACATGACTAGTAAATCTAAGATCAGAGAAAGATAGAGAAAATAACTTTTGTTCAATTTCTTCGGTTTCACCTCCAAGGGGAAAAATAGAGGTTCAAAAATTGTATTCAATTTGGTTAGTTTTGAATTGGAACGCTGAAGTTTTGGGTTGATGAAAAAATATTGGGACTATTTCTTTATAATGGTCTATCACGAAACCCAATGTGACAAACCAAATTCTATGTGTTGATAGAGTATAGTATTTTTGCATACAGTTCAAATAAAACTCCGCCTCAGATGAAAATAAAACGTTAGTGATGAAACTGTTATTTCTAATATTTTGATAAAAGATATACTCATGGAATTCAGTTTTTTGATCAATTTCATCTCCAGTCCTTTTATGAACGGAATGTGCTTCAAAAGAAATGGTAGGTATTCCCTTTTTTCAAGATATTCAATACTGCTGAGACTTTGAGATATAACATTCTCCCTTACATTCAATGCACATACTTGTGATATGCAGCAGGAGCAGACGAAACGTTTGGTGCTTCAGGTTGCATTCGACTCCGCCTACTAGCCTCGATTTTGTTCTCTTTAATCGTGACTGCGTTCGTGAGAGTCTATGTTCTTAATTCCATGTTTTTTGCAGATTTCCACGTTATGTGAAAAACAACAGGATATCAAAAAATTTCTACTATTTGATATTATGAAGTAAATTGCATACTAGTGTAGGAGATCTGAAATAATCTAACAGTTTCTTATCAAAATATGCAAATGTAAAATTATGAACTAATTTTCAATATGAAGATTAGAATATCATTTACCAAAACTTGTTTGGATTTATTCCTGTTAGAGTGGGGAATATATACGAGTACAATGAAGATTAGACATATAGATAGAGAAGTAAAAGGATGAGCCACGCTGAGTGGTAAGCTTCGAGGAAATAAAGTTTATATTTCGTCGAGCTTTCATGATTATTCGTAAAGAAACCCTTCCACAAATAGCTGCAGCTTCATGGTACATAACGTTTCGTCAAGAGATTGATGATGATTGACACATCATTAAATACATTTGATTATACGTGAAGACGGTCTGTTACAGATGGATTCACAAACAATTCAACTTGAGAATGAGAAAATCCCTGTACAATATTGTTATGATTGGGAAACAAAGATATATTTATACATGAACAAAAAAACTGAAGTTCATTCAATATTCTGTATCGTTCTGATTTGATTTTTACAAATGAAAACCCTCATTTACTCATTTCCATTTTCCTGATTCCTATGTCAAATGTTTTTCTATCTTTTTTTGTCTAATTGTAATAAACTTTCTGCTTCCCAAAATAAGTCAACTGTTGCAATGCTTTGCATGATTGGTCGTCGTTTGTAGTTGCTCATTGTAGTTGAATATTCACCTATTGTATCTTCAATAAATTTTGATGAAAATTTAATAAGAAGTGTATTGTTCCAATCTGAGTCTGTGACATTAACAGAAAAAAAGAAAAACAAACGTAGGGTAAGGTTTACCAAGTACACACGAAAAAATCAAATAAAAAAGGCACAAAAAAATATGGACAGACTCTACCTGAGTCCCATCGTAAAGGTGTGTCTGAATATAAGAAAAAAAACCCTGATGTACATAGGCAAGCTGTCGCCACCTACCAGGCTACACACCCTGAAAAACATAGGCAATCTGCTGTACTACATCAGGCCAGGAATACCGATGTGCATAGAGTGATTCAGTCACGGTATAGAGAAAATACAATTCAGCGTGTAGAGAAAAGCAAGTTGCTTTCGGGTTTGGCGTATGACCCATATATTGCTTATGGAACTGACAACAGTGTAGTCTTAGGTTCTATGACGTACAAATGTCAGTGGTCTAACACCTTGAAGTGGAAAGATGAGACACCTGGCATGTGTTGTAGCGCCGGTAAAGTACAACTTGAGCTGTTTAAACAACTGCCTGAACCATTTTACAGTCTGGTTAATGATTTACACCCAAATCATGTACACTTCATGAATAATATCTGAAAATATAATGCATGTTTTCAAATGATGGAAAACAAATGAAAGTAAGCGGTTTTTCGTCAACTTTCAAAGGACAAGTCTGTCATTTAATTGGAAGTATATTACCGGAACCTGGGCAGGATGCACAGTTTCTGCAAATTTATTTCGTCGGTTCTAATTTTCCTGATTTTAGACCAAATTTAATCAAACAATTGCAGCTTATGTTACATGAGGTGAACCCATACATAAAAGATCTAAAAACAGCCATTGATAAAATATCGCCTTCAGTCATTCAAGGTCGTAATACATGCAGATAAAAAACCACAAAGAGAACACAGAGGCAGATTTGATGCACCAACGGCAAATAAAGTGGCTATTGTATTGGTAGATCAGCATTTTGACCGAAGAGACATCATCCTCGAAAGCCAAAGTAACTCACTTCAGCCTATCAGTGAGATACATCGAGCTTATGACGCGCTGCAGTACCCGTTGATGTTTTGCTGGGGGAATAATGACTATTAATCAACATACCACAATGCGATCCCACAACTGAGTTGCTCTTAAAAAAACAGTCTCTGCTGTATGTTTTTATTCATACAGAATAATGATCAGAGAAGAAGAAGAAAACTTTTTGGTTAAATATCGCGCTCTAGTTAATATTTGATAGATGAATACGCAAAAATAGAAACTGAAAGACTGAACTACATAAAAAACAATCAAGCTAAATTGCGCGCAGATAATTATATTCATTTAAAAGATGCAATTGGACGGCAAGATAATCAAGCAAATCAGCTGGGACAAATGGTAGTACTTCCATCATCTTTTACTGGTGGACCAAGACACATGCACGAAAAAACGCAAGACGCCATGACCTATGTTAGACATTCCGGTCGTCCCGACCTGAGTTTATGCTGATACTTGTTTTCCACTGCTATGCCTCTTGCGAGTGGCCTTGTTCCACCCAGAAACGAATACAAAGTATATTATTATAATTATGATTTTTTTAACCTAAGGTTGCGCTGGTCAGAACCAAACCCAAAAAAAGTCTACAGCCTCCCTGTTAAATGAAGGAGTATAATTATTATCACTAACATTATCATCAGTTTCATTATTATTATCGACCTGTTTGGGGAATTTTCAAATATTGTTTCATTGAGTATATAATTTATGTGTTACTTAGTGAAACCACTACACTCGTATACCATTCGATTGTACAAATTATCACTATTAACGCATATATTTGTATCATACTATACCTTGAATTTCTACCTTGGCTCATCATCGAATCAAAATACAGAAAGAGGTTAGTTGAAACAAATAAATTGAGAAAACTCGATACAAAAAGTGTATTGATGCATAACAATTAACTATCAATTTCAGGATACTACAATCATACCTAGAATATCATACCAAACCAGTCACTTTGCATTGTACGAACAGAATTCGAATTTGTTTTAGAAAACAATTCCAAATATTTCCACAAAATGTAAACGATTAACAATATTTTTTTCGGAAAATAAGAATTGATTTTCTAATGAAAATTTGGCTTCTCTATATTTAATATCCATATGGTTCACATCTATCTATGTTCTGCACTTTGTGGGTAATAACCAGTCTCCATTAGGCATGTATTAAATATCTATATAATCTCTTTCTCTATCTCATTTGTTGGCATATCTTGTTTCTTCGAAGTCCTCATACGTCGAATGAATGCTTCCATCAGCCACATTACTGTAACAGTAGCTACTGTAATGTCCAAAACATGTATAGAAAATTTGTAACTGAATTGATCTTTGAGGTAACCTGGAAAAAATAATTGAATATATGAGATTTATGCCTTTCAGCGGAATTTGAAGGTAAATATTGCTCATAAAAAAGATCATAAATCAGGCCTTCTCAGTCTTTTCTGTTAATAATCGACAGAATTGGAAAGAGGATTTTTTCCTATGCACAAATATTCAAAACAATTCAGAGAAGAATACAGAAAATTTCTGATAAAACTCCATCACAAATGAGGCTCAATAATTAAATTAAAGTTGAGCGCTAATGTGTCACTTTATCACATTTTTCCAGAATTATTAAATGATAGATAGAATCAAAACTTTTGGTGTAAAATGAATTCAGTGAAAACACTTTTCGCACATCAGAACAGTAATATCACCCTATGCGCGTTTCGCTAACCAAGTTATTACGTTGTTTCAAAAGTTTTACCTGTTTTGATGCTGTTCATTTTTTCCTGCCTTTCTTCAGCTTATTACAATTTGATGTGATATGAATTCAAAATGAACCAAAGCGCTGCGCTGCCGAAACAGACCAAAAAATTAACTAGGCATTTGGCAATGATAGTATTAACGAACGCACTATTCGACTTTGGTTTGGCAAATTTCGTTCCGCAGCTCCCTGCCTCTGGTAAGGAGTTCAAAATCGACGAACAGCCATTCAGTAACGTATAGTTGAATCTATTTCTAGTTCAATAATTATACCAATTCTTGTTATAATGAGCAAACCACAATGAGTTTTTACTTACCTAAGGATTGACCAAAGGTTCCAGTTAATAATGCTTTCATCACCATATTGAGACCGACAGCGGATGGTAACTTGTCTTTGCTGATGTATTCTGATATCACAAGATTTTGGTTCACAACTGCAATAGCTCGAAAATATCCCACTATGAAAGACACTGCACATAAATATTCGAATTGTTCCAGTTCCACCAGAGCTGAAACAGGTAGTAATTCATGAATTGCTCAAAAGACTATTACTATTACTATCAGTTATTTTGTTTGAAATATGTGATTGAATTGGACGAAAATCTATAACGTTCTCAAGAAACACTTTATTGTTGTATTTTTGCTGAACAGTTCACGAAACCCCAACACGTGTTTCACTATACAATAGCTTCTCAGACGTGTATATATTGTATAAGACCAGCACCGCACATTAGGGCCAATGTTGGCGCCAATGTGTGGATCGAGATTTATGGTGTTGGTGTTTGTTGGCGCCAACGTTGGCTCAAACGTTGGCAGTTGGCCGTTGGCCGTTTTGTGTCGGTTTTTTGACGAGACATCAAAGGGAATTTGTCCCAATGTTTGTGTATTTGGTCACACAATGGCGCATAATAAATCGTCTTTCAACTTGTTTAGTCTGCGAAGTGAAAGTACGCGTCGTCTTTATTATTATTTAAAGTAAATAATGTCACCAAAGGAGAATGTGGTCAAATGAAAACGTTTTAATGTTTTTGGAGCTTCATCAAGCGGAACCAGTTTTATGGAATCCAACAGTCCTATACATAAAAGTCCGACATGTTGGCTCTGCTTGTAAGTAACTAAGCTTGGCTTCAATAACTTCCAATGTCTGGATGCTTTCAAAAATAATACCGCCAACATAGCCCAACGTTGGCGCCAACACTGGCCCCAATGTGTGGTTCCGGGGTAATACTAACCTGATTCTACCTAATTGATTCTTTATATAATATAATAATCTGAATCATATGGCCTTCTACCTACTTGATGACCGATGAATTTACTTAAGTATGAACTAATTTGAAATTAAAAAATTAGAAATTAAATTTTACAAATACATTGACTGGACATGTAATGAACCAAATTTCACAAAATGAAAAAGTATTATATTCTATTGGGTCGTTAAGTAAATTTTCGAAATTCTTTAATCCAAACATTCCAAAAGATTGAATTTCAAACATTTCACTTCCAAATGCCGCACGTCATATTCGAGGTTAAACCCTACTTTTGTTATTTTCGAAACAATGGATCGAAAACAATTTCGTGTTTTAATTTGACACAGCTTATTGATGGGAAAAACACCGTTCAAGCGAAGCAATGGCTTGAAAAGTGTTATAATTACTCCGCTCTAGAAACAACGATTAAACGTTGGTTTGCTGACTTCAAACGTGGTGGTAGAGACACTGATGATGCAGATCGCAGTAGACGTCCAAATGAGGCATTACCACCAGAAAACATAAAAAGAAATATCCACAAAATCGTGTTGAATGATCGAAAAGTGAAGTAGCATGAGTTAGCTAACATTGTAAAGATTTCAAAAGATTATTTGGCTTTATATTGCATGAGCATATACGAACACGGCAGAAAGCCGTGTTCGAAGTGAGTGCTGTCCGAAGTCACTGTTGACCAAAAACAAGAACGTCTTGATGATACTGAGCAGTATTTGACCATTAAANGCGTCGATATGTAACAATGGATGAAACATGGATCCATCATTTCACACCGGAATCAAAACGATCGTCATCTGAGTGGAAAGCAACTAGTGTAAACCTCGTCCAAAGCGACAGAAAAAACAACAATCGGCTGGAAAGGTTACGGCCTCGGTATTTTAGGATGTGCGTGGTGTAATATTCATCGATTATCTTGAAGAGGGAAATACCATCAACAGTGAATATCATACAGCGTTATTAGAGCGTTTGAAGGCCGGAATTTCAAAGAAACGACCGCATATCGCAAAAAAAACTTTTTTTCATCAAAACACCGCAAGTTAATTGAAACTATGGCAAAACTACATGAATTGAACTTCGAATTGCTCCCACATCCACCATATTCGCCTGATTTGGCTCCCAGCGACTACTAGCTGTTCACAAACCGGTAAGAAGTTCGCCTCGAATGAAGAGGTTATTGTTAAAACTGAGGTCTATTTTGAGGCAAAAGATAAATCGTTCTACAAAAGTTGTTCTGCAATATTAAAACGGCGCTGGAATGATTGTGTGGCTCTTGATGAAGATTACATTTATGAATATAGCCAATTTTGAACAAACAAAAACGCGTTTTCTTTCTAAGGTCCGTGACTTTTCAGCCCATGTTTATTGTTTGCAAATTTGGAATTGGTTTTCACATTCAAGAAACTACCCGTATTCTCTTTTATTATTTAGAAAAAGTTCCTCCATTTTTGGTCTATCTATCCGACACTGATATTTTGTTTTATTGTTCTCAATGAATCTGCTTAAATTATTATGTGTTCTGTAAGACACGTCCAAATGTATCTTTTCGAAAAAACAAACGATATTGTTGGTGGGTTCACCACAGCACAGACCTGGTAAATGGTTCGTTTTCGTAGTTATTTGGGAAAGAATGGAATCAATATCAACCCTGCAATCGATTTTGACAGTAATTTTTTCGATAAAACTCGATTCTTCCTGAAAATCACTTTCTGACAATTATTTGAAAAATAATCTGTGATGCTTAATAATGAGGAAGAGTATAATCACACCTGAGAAAGCTATTTTATACTAAAATACGTATTGCGGTTTCGAAAGTGTCGTGAAAATCGCACAATGAAGTTTTTGGAGTATAAGTATATTTATAATAATTGTCAGTGTACATATGTACGCAAAAGGTCGCCACTAATGTAGTAGTTACATCAGATATGGCAACAATGTAATATAGTAGTCGTCATCCTCATGGCAAAGTATGAAGTTGGTTTTGGTTGGTTACTTGCAGAGAAAAGTGTTATCACGTTTATGTTTAGATATTATAGTAATTGAATGATCGTTTATGAAATTGAACTATGACTTATTTGATCCTTTTGAACAATATCTACATATTTATGATTTGTCGAAAGTGTTATTTGAATATATTTTGTTTGAGATTTTTGCTACTTGTCATTTTCCTGATTAATTCAATAATGGGGAAGAAATTTATTGAAGACATGAAGTAAGAAATTGAGTGAGACGTGAAGCAAATAAACCAAAAAGGACGTTGAAGATGCAAAAACATAGTTTTGTAAAAGACGGGCACAATCAGCCACAAAAGACGAAATTAAAAACGTTCATTCAAACACTGTAATTGTACTTTTGATTGTGGAATTTACGGTTCGCCGTTCACTGCGCATCAACCCCCTGATATTGTCGCCATCTCACCCACCTCAAAATTTCAAGATCGTCATCACCAAGTACATTATTTCAGTTATCATTATGTGGCCATATACAGTTGAATGTGATGTGTTCTCTTTCAGCCTCAGCCAAAGCTGAAGGAGCATGAAAGAAACTGCTAGGCCGAACGAACAAATCGGCTATGGCGGAACACGCACTCAGTGAAGGAAACTACAGGATTCGGTTTGAAAACACGAAACTCATTGCCGCCAACCAGAGACACCATAGCCTTTCAGAAGTTTTTGCGAAAGAAAACATTGAAGTGTATTTATTCAATCAGAAAAAAGTTTCAAAGCTTTAAACGAGCTTCAAAGAGTTGAGTTTGTTAACAGAAAAAAAAAGAAATAATTGGTTCAAGATAAAGATACGATAAATTGGAGGCAGAGCGTGTTTTCGAAATCCTTCGTTTCTAAAATAGAAAATGGTGAATAAAAAAGAAAAAACAATTGGTTTGGGAATACATACCGACAAAAAGAGAAATAGGAGGCAGAGCGAGTTTTCAAGATCATTTGTTTCTGAAATAGAAAATGGTGAATGTGAAAAATAAAAACCGTCTTTCGGTGTTTAACAATTCAGATAATGTGCCTATGTACGAATTTTTTTTTTAGGTATAATTGACTTTTGTCCCTATATTGACACTACTAACAAGATTTCAGTATTTTTCGAATCTCAAGTCAATTTTGGGTAAAACAAGTAAACTTGTTCACATCAATAAAATTTAGATATTTGGGTATGATTTTATTACACAGAGATTCGTGTCCCAAATTATAATTCGAATATCTTGAAAAATAAAAAACTGTATTCAAATGCAGCTTTTGTTGAATCGAACCTTACAATGTTAAGAAATATCATATGTTTGAAAACAATAACTTTTTTGAAAAACCACAGTGTCTTGGTTTTTGTCTCATGGAGAGGATGATTATTTTTATTTTTCAGTAAAATTTGAAAGAGATAAAAGTATGCCTGATGTGGATATCAACCAGGTTTTTCAATATAGGAACTTAAAAAAAGGTTGAACGGTGCTACAAAACTTCAGATTTGAATGATGATCATGAAAATGAAATATTATGTAAAAATAGAGATTGAAGAGAATTGGTAGCCCTTACAGAATTAACGGAGAACGTGTGAAGTAGAAATACTACATTTCGGAGTCGCAAAGTCAGAGTGAACAATGGTTTAGAGGATCAAAACAGATATTTGATAGTTCCAGGCGGATAAAATTCCTCCTCAAAAAGTTTAAACAATCACGATCGTAGATAACTGTATTGAACTATTTGTTAAATATCGTAAAATGAGGTTGGCTGCATAACAATATAATCTTTAACTTCGGTGCACCAATAAATCGGTTAAAAGTGACACCGACATAGGTGGGTGGCGTTCTTTTAGTGTAAAATAATAAAAAAACTTTGACATTTTATTCTTTGACGTATGTCAAAAGAATTAGAGCAATAACAATTTGGAGCGAATTTTTTATAATGAATTTCAGGTTTCGTAAACGAAAAAAGATAGTTTTCCGATAGGTTGACCACTAAAGAAGGCTATGTATGAATACTCAACTTTTTCAATTGATTTTTCAATTAGTAGGCAAACTTTATGAATACAAGTTACTGACTACTTGAAACCTTCAGTGGTTTATATAACGCAGTAACTTTTCGGAGTTTACTTTTCAGTCCGCAGATTCTCTATTGATTTAACTCTATTCGTTTTTCAAATTGTGGAAGGTTATATACACGAAAAGCAGTAAAAGTTTTAAATCATGTAATGATTCACCAAATTCTTTGAGGAATGTCAGCGAAATGTAAAAAAAAAACATCCAAGGATACCTTTTGTTATGAACTATTATCGATGTGTCATATATTTCATACATTTTCATTTGAGTGAATTAGTTAAATTTTTTTTTATCTTTCATAATATGTTGTTCTTTTTTGCATAGTATAGACATTTTATATTTCTTGAAAAAAGAATTATTATCGTTATTATCCTTTTTTCAGTTACTTTTTATTTTATCTTAATCGACGGAAGAATATTTGGCATAGGGTAGTATCAGTAAGCATGCCAAATCAAATATTTGGCGAAGTATTTATTGAATTTGTTAATATTTTCGATATTACAACTAGCGTTTTTTGGTATCAGTAATACATGTTATTCTACTGATTTCCGTTGGGCATCAGAAAAAATATCATCTGAATATATCCATGAAGTAATTCAGATAAATTGAGTTGTAGTCAACTCAATTTATCTGTATTGAAAGAAAAATTATATATTAACTTACAACTTCTGGTGATACTCAAGAAAATACACCCAAGTATAAGAGTGCTTTTGTTGGTCAAGTGCAATCTCCTGCTGATCTCCGGTAAAGTAAATCTTCCTAAGACATCAGCTGCAGAAAAGGCTGTCATACAAGAAGTCGTCCTCATCAATGATAACTTGGCTTCTTCTTGAAGAAACATCGGGGCAAAGGCATTGTATGCTATTGTAGAAACGTAAATTAATCCTAAACCAATGAGTATGAAGACGAAATAACCGTCTTGGAGAAGTTCCAAGCCCAAGGATTTGACAATCTTTTTCAGAAGAGACTCTTCTTCTCCTTTATTCAATTCGAGTTGGCCTATAATTGAGTGAGTATATTAATAATCTAAATTATTACTTTATTCTAGACTGATTACACTCTAAGCACCGAGTAATCTGAAGTTACTTCAGATTACTTCAGTTACTTCAATTTTCGTATGTTAGTTGAATGTAATATACTGTAGAGGAGAAGGTGGGAATGTGTGAAAATCTGAATGATACATTCCCTGGTTTCGTATTCATTTGGCTATATGTGACTCACTATGGAATATTAAAAAAAAATCAGTGTATTAAGAAAATGCCAATTTAACAATTTGAGATCAAGTGTACTTTATGTGGCACCCTGGGAGGCAAATTTGAACTCAACGACAAAAATCGCACATTGATGATTGCCTTTAGGACCTGCACAGTCGGTATGAGCTCATGTTACAGCTCTGACACTGGATCCACTCTTCTCCACGTCTGTCGCTAGAATAATTGGTATCATAAAATATACAAACTGTATCTCTGTCCTCGGGAACTGCTGGCGCCATCCCCTCTCTTAGTCGACTGATGGTGGTTGGATTCCTGGTTCAGATTCTGTCCCGTGTGAGTGAGTTTTCGATATACAGATGTTTCCCATTTAGTCTCGGTCATCGTCAACAATACGTCTAAAAATGGCAATTCTTTGTAGAAAACCGACTCACACGGAACACTGTCTGAACCAGGAATCCAACCACTATCAATCGATTAAGAGAGGAATCATCAAGAGTCTACTAGACCGTGCTTTCGGGCTCTCTAATACAAAGGAAGGTCTTGAAAAGGAATCAGACTTCATTAAAAATGACCTTCAATGGGATGGTTACTCCAAAGTGATGATGGAACAGGCTTCGCTAGAAGACAGCAAGAGCTCCACAAGGAAAGTAAGCCGACACAACCGGTACTTGTATTTCCCTACCTCAGACTGCGATTCCAAGAATTGCATTTACCGGATACCCTAAGAGTGCAGAGAATCATACTTTGGTGAAATTAAGAGGCTATTGAAAGATTGCATTGCCGAGCACAAGAAACACACACAGCGAAAAGAAACTAGCAAATCAGGAATTGCAGAGCATGTTTGGACTCATCAACATAACATCAAGTAGGCTCAAGCTGAAATCATCCACAAGGAAGAACACTGGTTTAAAAGAAAATTCAAAGAAACCGCATATATGTTGTCCAACAACGCATTTATCCAAGGTAGCGTACAAGTACGCAACATATGAAAACCTCTAATCAAGCGAAACACGACCAACTCCCGTCAAACAGCCAGCTCCCGATAAAACCGATGAAGCGAAGAGAGGGAAGAGGGGATAGGTAAAATCACTCGAATGACCTATAAATAGTCAGATCTCGGAGGAATAAGTCCAGTTATCACCCGAAGACAATTGTGGATACTAACTATCGAGTCGTCGTAAAGTAACTTGGTTTGGAATCTTATAATTTTTAATTTTCATTTCTTGTTGATAATTTTTTTAATTTTCATCTCGTAATAATAGTT